CCCCAAAACCCCAAAACCCCAAAACCCCGTCAGTTTAAGATTATTATACATCTTAAGATAAAATAAAATAAATATCTTATTGCTAATTATTATGGACTTGCAGGTAGGAAACTCAAGCATCCCCTAAGCGCAAAGATCACCACCAAATCAGCTTCCCTAGATAAGAAATGCTTACAAGCCACAAAGAATACTTGCAGCATCTCCAAACAATGACAACAAATAAGCTTCCTACAGTAAATTCATGACAAAGAGCTTCAGTTAGAACTCAATTAGAGTTGCAGGTCTTGACACCACAACTTCATATAAAGATGATCCTTCTGCAATTTATAACATATAAATGAACTTAGATTTGTCTCTACTTTAAGCAAAGCAGGAAAAGTTCAACTCAGTAAAGCAACTGTATGCAATGGAGTAAAAAGTGCTAAAGCTGAAGAAAAGGGAAGATTAATTACAAAAGAAGCTTGAAAATTAAATGAAGAGAGATGAGGAGCTCGCAATGGTCAGATAAAGCTACGATGAAAAGTTAGCAGCCTTGAAGAGAGCATAGATGGAAAGAGAAAAACAGATGAATGATTATTATGAAAAAAATGCAAATAACAAGAGCTTGAGTAGAATGAACAAATCAGAGAAGATCAATGAGATTTTCTCAATGAAGAGAGAGTCTGCGGTTGATGTCAAGGCTCAAAGAAAAAATTTGGATTAGGAAAAGGAAAGACAGAAACAAGAGATGCTTAATCAAAAGTACTATAGCGCACAAATGATTAAACAGCAACAGAACTAAGCCAAAGAGAAGATGAATATGTACAAAAACTATAAGGATTAACAGAGAAAGATTAGCTATATTGAGAGGGTTAACATGGAGAAAAATAAAAAGGATAGAAATGATCAGAAAGCTTAATAGTTAATGAGTGTAGAATAGGAGTTGCTTGACAAGCTAAAGAAGTCTCAAGAGTTGTTAAGATCCACAAGAAGACAAGGAGAACCTTTCTCATTGACTTAGTCTTAATCTGATATGAATTTCAGATCATTATGAGAAACCTCTATAAGAAGGATATCCTTCTATACTACTCAAGAGTTTGATTTATATTTATTAAATTACAATTTACTTTGAAGTTATAGTCATTTGGTGGCATGGGGTTTTGGGGTTTTGGGGTTTTGGGG